AATAACAAGAGAGAGGGAAAAAGCTGACACAAGCCTTCTTATCTGGTCCTTTCCTGAACCATAATTCCATAGCACCTAGTTTGTCCCTGACCTTCTCCCTTTAGTTACCCTGAGTTCATCTCCATGACTTACTTTGATTACACTCTTGGCACAAGGAATACACTAAATCCCTGACCTCTCCCTTTTGGCCTACTCAAATGAATCTTAGAATTCTTCCAGTGTTTGTTTTATTGTTGATCCTATCAGTCACCTATTATTCAGCTGACTATTCTTAATCATTAGTTTTCTCACTAATAGTGGAAAATGGCACCTGAGCACACCCCTCCAAATATCAACCATTATAACTATCCTCACTCCTAGAATTAAACACTTGTGGCCAAGGGGCAAATGAGAAAGGAACATCAGAAATGCTTTTAAATTCATAACGCTTACCTTGGCTCTAAGTTCTGAAGGGCAATGGTTCATAGGGTTCAAAGCTTTGGAAGAATAAGGCTAAGGTATTCAGTCTATAGCTGCTATCCTGGTACATCACCTATTTAATATTCAGTAGTTAACTAGAGGCCCTACAGAATGTATAGCCTGGAAAATCCCAGGAAACTAAGAGAATCCTAATGTGCTGCTTCTGTAAGAAGTTTCAGGACGCTATCCTGTTCTAATCATTCCTGTCTCAAATTTCTCCAATGACAGATACTTTACGTTATTCTGCAAAGCACTTCTTTTTTCTTTTATTTATTTATTTATTTATTTATTTTTAAGTCACTCTGTCACCCAGGCTGAAGGGCAGTGGCACAATCATGGCTCACCATAGACTCGACCTTCTGGGCTCAGGTGATTCTTCCACCTCAGCCTCCAAAGTAGCTGGGACTACATGCATATGCCACCACATCTGGCTAATTTTTTTTTTTTGGTAGAGACAACATCTCGCTATGTTGCCCAAGCTGCTCTTGAATTCCTGGGCTTAAACAATCCTCCTGCTTCAGCCTCCCAAAGTGCTGGGATTACAAAATGAGCCACCACACCCGGCCTCTGCAAAGCTCTTATAAACAGCAAGAAGTGGTCTAGGGGGCAAACAAGATATATATCTTTTTTTAAAAAGGAAAAATTAATCACAAAAGGAACTTCAGAAGTTCCCATACTAGCCAAGAAAACAAACATACCTAACATCCTTACCAGTAAACAACGTCCAGTGGTGCAAAGTAATTTTTCATTATCAGGTCAGCAAAGTAAGCTTCTGTTTCCCGGCAGGCAGTTCCATTTCCAATCACCACCGTGCTGCAGCTGCAAGGGAGAAGCAGAATGAGAAACTGAATTTCAAGGCATGCTTTGTAATCAACTGGAGACCATGTACAGAATGCACAAACACTATTATACAATGCTCTTATTTTCTCATATCTAAGCAACCTGTCTATTGTTTCCTTTTTTTTTTTTTTGAGTTGGAGTCTCACTGTCACCCAGAGTAGAGTGCAGTGGCATGCTCCCGGCTACCGCAGCCTTGACTGCTGGGCTCCTGCGATCTTTCTGCCTCAGCCTTCCAAGTAGCTGGAAGTACAGGTGTGTGTTACCACGTCCAGCTAATTTTTTTGATTTATTGTAGAGACAAGGTCTCACCAAGTTGCCTGGGTGAGTCTCGAACCCGCAGGCTCAGGCAACCCACTTGCTTCGGCCTCCCAAGGTGCTGGGATTACAGGCTGAGCCACTGAGCCTGGCCTCCTGTCTATTGTTTCACAAGGGAAACAGAAACGGATGTAGAATAAAAGACACTGCCCCCACATTTGGAATAGGAGGCAGTAGAGAAATCTTTCACTGTCATACTATCTCAAGAATAATCAGCTTTCTTCCCATCTAGAAGAAACCAAATCAGACATGAGTAAGTAAATTCTAGAACATTATAAGCCACAATAAAGACACTGTGGTTGAGTTATATGATAAGATGTCAATCTCGGAAGCTTCTAACTACTTCCACATTCATTCCTCAGATCCATAAGGAAGAGAGGAAGGAAGGAAGGAGACACGAAAGAGGGAGGAAGCCCAAACAAAAGAACAAATGTTCACAGGTGCCCATATTACCACCTTTAGGTAGTATATATTGGAAGGTGGTAGAGGAAAGGTGCAGCATTCCTCTGGAGTCTTCACATGTAGAGTTCTCCAGCAATTTGCCCTGGCATTCTTTTACATGGTTCCTTTTCCCTCACCAAGGCATTTCCCTTAACTCCTCCCTCCAAATTAGGGGCCTCAAAGGTATCTGATTGACTAAGCTACTGAAATACTCAAAGATTATTTTCATACTTGAAATTCAGCAAAAGCCTCTTTATTTTCTCTGCCTCTCGGAAGCCTTGTCCACAATGCAAGTAAACCACATCAGTATGAAGTATCTGACCTTTAAAAAATAAAAAGAATAAGGCTTTTTGTAAGAAATTACAAAGTGTAACACATCAATGATTTGATTCAGCTGTAGTAGAAAATGAGAATGGCTTGTTTTTTAAAATGCTGTCTGAATCATCCCATATTCACTAGATCAGTTTCTCCCTAAGTACTCAAATATTGTTACTTCCAAAGTCACAAGGATTCTATTTTGCTACACAAAACCATTACAAACTAGATAATATGCTGAGATACATAAAAGAGAAATGGTGTTCAATAACACTAACATTAGCAACAATAGAGGTGAACATTTACTAAATACTACATATCAGACACTGTTGGATACTATTTTATTTCCTCTTTTGAGTTGTAGATACATGAATTTATTTACTTTATTTACTTTGTATAATTCTTTGAGCTTCATATTTAAGAATTACGAGCTTTTCTGTATTGTTATACAGGAAATATTTTATTTTAACTAAAATATTTTTATTTTAATAATATTTTAAGTAATTAAAATCATTTTAATTAAAAATATATTTTAAAAGTTAAAGAAATTCACTTTAAATAAAAATAATGAGCTAAAAGACCAATTTAGGAAGTTAGGAAAAGAACAACAGAATAATCCCTAAGAAAGAAGAAAGTAGAAAATGACGAAGTTAAAAATAGAAATTTAAAAAATAGAAAAAAAAAAAAACAAAAAACAGAAAGGATTAACCAAGTTTACAGTTTAAAACCACTTATAAGACAGACATTTATGGTTAACAATACCAATCAAGAAAAAGAAAGGCTAGAAAACAAAAATACAGTAAATTTTATTAAAAATGAAAAGAGGATATAAGCAGATTTTAAAATACAGACAGAATAGTATAAATAACTTTATGTTAATTTTGATTAAAAAATGAAATCGATTAGTTCCTAGAAAACCTTATCAAAAGAGATTAAAGCAATATCTGTGCATGTGTTTATCTGTGTGTGTATATATAAATTTTTTAAAGAATTATACTATTAGAAACATAGGAACTGAAAACTGATCCAGTAAGTATCACGAACAAGTTAAGATTATCTAAGAAGGCAAGTGTGACTTGGCACTTCTTAAAAAATTCATCCCAGTAACATAGTAAAGGATAAAAGCCATATGACATCTCAATAAAGCTGAAAAAAATATTGATAAAATATACTTCCCATTTACTTTAAAAATTAATAGCATAAAATGACAACTAGGAAAACAAAAACAAAACCTGACTATATCTATAACAAAGATAACAAAATATCCTCCCAAAACCCAAAAGTAGTGCAGGTGAGAATAACACAACTGACAAGACCCTCATGCATCATCAGCATCTGTGTGGAAAATGGAGTATCTGACAGACCTGAAAACAGGAAAATCTAAAAAATGTTCATGGTATTTCCTGGAAATCCTAACAGTCTGTTTGAGAATAGGAATTGAGACTGGGAAAGATTTAGTACAAAGGCTGCCCAATAAGTTCAGAAAGGATTGGAAAATTCCAATCCCTATGAACTCTTGAAATTAACTAGTAGAAGATACCTTTCAAGACAAAAATCCTACACTGAGAAGAAAAAGTCGAAAATCACATCCAAATGCAGCAAAGTAAGAATAAAGATAAAAGAAAGCCCAGGTAAATGAGGAGAAAGCAACAGGGAAGCAGATTCCAGAAAGTATAAGACTATCTCCCAATCCACACAGAGCTTTTTCTTTTAATAATTTGGGGGCAAAAAAGAGAGAATTATAGAGATATACAGCTAGAAAAACTCTCCTGACCCAGCCTTCCTTCTAAAAGTGCAGGAAAACTAATTTATGTAAAACTAAACAACAGAAAAGGATGATGGTCAAATTCTATACAGAATGATTATTTTTTAAAACAGTTAATTTTTAAAAGGCTAATAGAAAGGTCTTATAGAAAGGTGTACCTAATGTATGAGAAAAAGCTCTAAAAAAAAAAAAGGAACATTACGAAAAATAAGAATAACGTTAAGTCAAAATTAGAAAACCTCAGAAATGAGATGAGATAAATTGGGAATGGGTTCAACATAAAAGAAAAAATTACTTCAGAAAAGAAAATAAAACCAAAAATTTTAAAGGTAAAAAAAAAAAATTAAAAGTTGAAGTTCATAAGAAATTGTAATCTATTTTTTAAGTATGAAACAGAGTCTAAAACTAAAAAATCAATTACTTAAATAACTCCACAGATGAATTTAGTAACACATTAGACATAGCAAGAACAAGGATTAATTAACTTAGACAATTAATAGAAAATAAAACAAAAGAATGGAAAACAGAAGAGAAGAAATGGAAATGTCTAACATGCATGTAACTGGAGTTTTAGAAAGAGATGCTAGAAGCTCTACAACCCTAAGTGGAAGTCATGCCAAAAAAAGAAAAAGAAAAGAAAACCCACACTCATACCCTCTTCCCCACACACACACACTTAAGTGCATAAGAAAACTTCTGAAAACCACAAAGAGAAAATTCTAGCAGTCAAAGGAAAAAAGGACATATAACCTTCAAAGGAACAATAATAAGAATGTTGGCTGACTTCTCAAGAGAAACTGTAGCAGTCAGAAAAACATAAAATGAAAACAGAATGACATCTTTAAAGTACAAAAAGTAATTGCCGGGGTTGACATTCGGCTGGTCTTTCGGGACGACGGACATTCCGTCCTGGAACCATGGCCCAATTTGTCCGTAACCTTGCGGAGAAAGTCCCAGTGCTGGTGAACGCTGCTATGACTTATTCGAAGCCTCGACTGGCCACATTTTGGTCCTACGCCAAGGTTGAACTGGTTCCTCCAACCCCTGCTGAGATCTCTAGAGCTATTCAGAGCCTGAAAAAAATAATCAGTAGCACTCAAACTGGTAGCTTCAAACAGCTCACAGTTAAGGAAGCTGTGCTGAATGGTTTGGTGGCCACTGAGGTGTGGATGTGGTTTTATGTCGGAGAGATCATAGGCAAGCATGGCATCATTGGTTATAATGTTTGAAGACCAGTCTTTAACATCTGACGATATTTGACTTGTTATCTGTGTGTTTTTGGACCATATGTGATCAGACTGCTATCTGATCAAAATAAGATTTGTCAAAAAAAAAAAAAGTAATTGCCAATCTTGAATTCTATACCCAGCAAAAATATTCTTCAAAAATGAAGGCAAAATAGAGACTTTTTCAGACAAACTAAAACTGAGAATATCTGTTACCAGTTGACCCACATTAAAAGTAGTAGGCAGAAAGAAAATGATCTCAAATGGAAACAGAAATGCAGAAAGAAATGAAGAGTAATCTAGAAAAAACAATATAGGAATTCATATGGAAACACAAATGACCAAGAATAGCCAGAACAATCCTCAGCAAAAAAAAAAAAAAAAAAAAAAAAACAAAGCAAGAGGTATCACACTACCAGACTTTAAACTTTACTATAAAGCTATAATAATCAAAACAGCTTGGTATTGGTACAAGAACAGGCATATAGACCAATGAAATAGAATTGAGATTCCAGAAGCAAAACTTCAATTTCTCAACCAACTCATATTCGAGAAAGACTCCACCACCCACCACTGGAGAGAGGACAATCTATTCAGTAAATGGTGCTGGGAAAACTGGCTGACCACATGCAGAAGATTCAAACAAGACCCGACCCCGATCTATCCCCATACACAAACATTAACTCTAAATAGATCAGAGACCTAAATGTAAAACCTCAAACCATAATAACTTTAGAAAATGCAGGACACACCCTCATGGAAGTTGGAACTGGCATCCAATTCCTGAGCAAAAACCAAAATGCACGGGCCATAAGAGATAAGATAGACAAGTGAGACCTCATTAAACTGATAAGCTTCTGCAAAGCCAAAGAAACCATCAAGAGAGCAGGGAGACAGCTCACAGACTGGGAAAAAGTATTTGCCAACTCCATGTCTGACAAAGACCTAACATCTAGAATCTACAAAGAACTCAAACGTCCTGAAAAGAAAAAACAAACAACCCCATTATAAAGTGGGCAAAAGAAATGAACAGACACTTCTCAGAAGAAGACATACAAGTGGCCAACAGATACATGAAGAAATGTTCAACCTCACTAGTCATCAAGGAAATGCAAATTAAAACTACACTGAGATACCACCAAACTCCAGTCAGAATGGCCATTATCATTAACTCAAAAAATAACAGATGCTGGAGAGGATGTAGTGAAAAGGGAACACTTATACACTGTTGGTGGGAGTGTGAGCTAGTGCAGCCTCTGTGGAAATCAGTGTGGCGATTCCTAAAAGCTCTAAAAATCGACCTTCCATATGACCCCGCAATCCCCCT